ACTCGTTTTGCGCGCATTGAGAACTGGATAAATGGTAGAGAACATTTGGATTATAGTCGATCTACATTGCGCAAGGAAAGAGCTTTGTTGCAGGGGCCACTAAGAACTAAGAATAAGATACTTAGCGTCGCTTACCCGACTCTGCGATTACACGACTGCACGCTTGCGTTGTAACTGCGAACATCAGCAAAAGTGCAGAAATCCCCTGAGGGATCGCACTGATGGCCTGAAACACGAAATCGGGCACGGGCGCTCAATATAGCGGCCCAAATCGCCCAAGCGCGCGATGGCCAGAAGTCGTTGCAATGTTCGTGGGGCATTTCCTGGCCGCGCGATTTTTTGTATTGTATGCACAAGCAGGACATGATGTATATGATACCTACGCCATGAAAGGAGCCTTTCTGACCGTATAAAGAGATCCAGCCTGTCCGACATACTAGAGCACGCGCAATTTGTGCATAGCGAAACCCAGGTAACTAACTACAAGGGCGCGAAGCCAGCCTGCGCGAGTTCGCGTTCGTCTTCGCCTAACTCAACCTCTCCATCCTCTGGCCCCAGGTCATCGTCGTCATCCTCTTCCGTCTCCGCATCTTCCTCCGAGTTGTTGCCGCTAGAGCCTGTGAGTTCACCATCTTCACCGTCCGAATTGACACCATCAGCATCAGCATGCGAGCCATCTTCCTCGGGTTCGTCGTCGTACAGATCGCCAGTCAGTGGGTTGATTGGCTCTGGAGCCACCGGAGGCGCGTGCCGTGCGCCTGGGTCGCCACGTTGGTGGCCTACAGCCCCGCCATAATAACGCATAAACATATCACGATCGGCAAAGCTGCAGTTCAATTAGTACACATGTACATAGGCTCGCGTACAAGACAGGTCATACACTTACATTCCAACGTAGTGACGATTCCAATCAAGGTCATCCTCGTCTTCTTGACGCGCGATGCTGTAACCGGGGAGCGCTGAATCAGACTGACCGTGTGCGAAGGCGGGCATCAAGTGTGCAGCTCGCAGGACTTGATCTGGGGATACAAAGCCGAAAGCGTTGTCATCGAGGGCTGCCCATTGGAGGCGTGGCAGCCGGCGCGCCTTAAAGCCACCTGGAGCACTAGAGTCCAAGTCGAACCACCGGACCCACAAGACTTGAATGGTTTGCATATCGGTGTCGCCCGCACCGTCCAAATCGTCCCCAGCGCGGAAGGCCTCGATGTGGAAAATGCTGATCACGCGCGCATAGAGATAGGGGTGCGGTGATCCCTCTGGGGCCAGCATCATGATGTCGGGGTGAGTACGGGGATTGATGGAATCCTGGGCGCGTCGCATGTCGTACGTCGTGTAGTTGATACGTAGAACCTTGTGCCTGTACAACCTGTTATTCTCTATACGAACGGAGAACACGTCATCAAAATTAGCGATGTAGTCCGGAGGGAGCGCTTGGCCACCCGGCAATCGTCTGAGCAGGTGGGCTTTCAAATCCCATTCGAAATTCTGCGATTATCTGTTAGCGACGGTGCTGGACAACAGCATGGATATTCATTGTCGTGGAGACCACAAACAATGCTACATATATACCTCACATGCCGGATCACCATGGTTCTCGAAGAGAAAATCTTCGAGTTTGACCGGATACCGTGTCTCGTCCGAAACATGGTAGTGTCGGTCAGGCTGGGTGGGTGGGAGAGGTTCAGCGTGTTCGAATCGAACATGTAGTCGTTTACCACGCGCCGCCCTAGCAACCTTTGCTTTATGTCTCTTGTTGCGCGGCTTGACAGTTTCGCCCCAGGTTTGCTTGATTTTGTTGATTATCTCTGCACGACGGACTTCCAGGGCGATTTGTCGGCCAAACGTGCGGTTTTTGTTTGTGCGCCGGTAGAACTGCTTGACCCGCCGGTGTTCGAACTCGCCCTAAAAAGATTGCACGTTAGTAGGTCAGTGCACCCATCAGAGAGCAATGTAGCGTACCGTCTGCGTTGATGTGTTGTCAGTAGTACCTATTTCGGATATGCCACGCGCATAATCACCCAGGCGGTGATATTTGTACGTGTTGAGAACGTTGAATGCCCTGAATTTTGACGAAGCCATGGCCGATTGTTTGTTGCGTCCGGACGCGGCTTTGTGGCGCTGCCGCGACTGCGTCTCCTTCGGCAGCTCCTGGGTGGCGAAGTGAGGACAGACGTGACGAAGGAACGCGCGCATGGATTGCCCGAGTGTACCGGTCGAAGTGTCGAGGGCCGCAATTGTTGTTTCGGAATGGAGTTGCAGCTTGGCGAGAGCATGCCATCGTGCCAGCTCAAACAGCATGTCCAGAACGATGCCATTGTACGGCTCCGCCAACAGATTCTCGAAACACGGCATAGCGCACTACAATTCATGTCAGACAAACGAAACCTGCATACCATCGATGATCACGAACCTTTAACATCTGTTCAAAATCGCGTGCCGCAAGCTTCTTCATAGCCGATACGGTGTCGCCAAACCGCCGAATAGTCGCTCGACCAAAAGTGGGAAGCATGGAGAACCTGTAAGATCACGCCGTGAGCTACGTCAATTACATAGTCATCGCAACATAGAACCCCAACGACGTCTGTGTAATCTCGGCCTCAGTCATCAGTCTCTGTAGAGTCTTCCTGATGAGCGTCGGGTCGCCGGCATTCAGTGATCATTTCACTAGCTCGCTCGGCCACAGAAGGACCGGAAGCCTGTCGGAAACCCTCGTTCATCTGTCCAGGATGCACATGCTCCCGCATGACAACTACTTTGCTTGCGAGTCAGGCAAGGGGCGTGTCGTCGTGACCACGGAAACGCAGGAAAGTAGAGTTCAACTCACCGTTCATCCAGCATCTGGACGCGGTCCCCTCCCGCGGCGATAATCATACGAACGAGATGGGTAAAGGTGCCCTTCCAGACGCCGAGCTCCATTTCATGCAATAGATCAGGAACAAACAGCTCATAGACGTTGAGGCCGAAGGACGCAAAGCGCTGCGAAAATGCGGACTGCTCGTGGACAAACATATATCAGATTAAGGATATAACGGGCAAACGCACGACGTACACGGGTGGGAGTCATTGACAAAAAACCGAGCTTTGTCTTCTTGACGCTGTTGCCGTCGGGCACTGTACCATCTTCAAAGATCCACCGGCGGACCCTCGCTATCAGCTGCTGAATGACGCTAGTATCCTGACGAGCGTTTTTGACTCGGGCAGCCATATCCTGCTTCATTCCCATTTTCCAAAAATCACATTTGTCGGTGGTGCAATCGGGACAGGCACATCGCGCCAACGTTTTGAGACAGGCGACAAGACACCTGTCGGGTTGCAGTTGTCAGGGGAGAGGATTACAGCAGGAATGGCCGTATGCTCACTTTTCTGGATAGTCCGCTGAATACGTAAAGATGCGAGGGAAAACGCGCCGGGTGACACCGTCACCACAGACAATGAGGACGCCGTGTTCGAACGCGTGCATGAAGTCTGCGTCCAGGAGAGTGAGCCAGATCTTCTGTACAAGATCATACTTGAGCATTCGGATGACAGCGGCGGATGCCGGGGCGCCATACGTGTCCTCATAAAATCGGAGGAGATTTGCTGGCAGCTGGGAGGCAAGTCAGCGATAAATCACCCGAAGGCATGGAGAATGGCACGGAATCTATGCGACTCGCCAGACTGACCGACGGGATGTAAGCAAGGTGGTGTGCGGCGAACATGGAGGGTTTGAGCCTAAGGTACTTCGAGAGGTTTCCAAAGAAGGCGTAAATCGGCCACAGCGACGCCGTGCCAAAGTTGGTGAGGTGAGTGGAGTCGGAGTACACCATGATTCCACCAACGACATACTCCACCTCGGGGGCATCGGCAGGGTTTCGGGGGCGCTTCTGCAGCCTCTCGTGCTCTTCTATCATTTTGTCTGAGTTGTAGAGGTCCGTGTAGAGACGTTCGGGCTGAGCGTTGGGTTCCTCAGCAGTGGTGCGCGTGCGATACAGTTTGTGGGGGACGCAATGGAACTTCCGAGCAGATATGTCCTGGAATCCGCATTTCACAACCTCGAGCATGCTCCGGACCCAGATGTTATTGACAATGAAGGCGGGGCAATGTTCCTCGTCTTCTTGTTCAAGCCCAGGCTTGGGAAGGTGAAGCATTACCGACGCCTCGCGCCAGCCGTCCTGTGTCGAGAACGCGCCCCCGGTGAGTGCGTGTTCATCCAATCGGCGTTGCTCGCGGTCTAGGTTGAAGCCACGAAGGTCTTCCTTCTGAAAGCGATCGTCCAAAAGGACTTCGTCCACGAGGCGTTGGAGCTCGCCCCCCGACTTGGTGAGCGACCCGGTATACTGCCATTCCATAATCTTGAACGTTGACCAGTTGAGGAAGGGGGCAAAAGAGTTGGCGGCGACTTCATGGGCGTTCGAGAGCCAATTGCGGACGGACGGTCCGTAGCCACGGAAAGGGTCGCGGTCGGAGGGATCGATAGGAGTACGCAGGTGGGTACTAGCGTCGGCAAAGGCATCCAGAGACATTCCAGCCTCAGGGTCAAGGCAGGGGACCGTAGTGTATTGTCTGAACACGCCAAACCGATTTGGCGGCGTGTTGATAGGAGGGGGAGCAATGGGTGGAGATGCAGGGCGCGCTGGTGCGGGGGCGGGCTCAACACCTTCCATGCCGTCCTCGGGGACATCCTCGATAGTAGTGCGCGGTTGAGTAGAGGAACTAGATAGTCCCGCACTCGGAACCACAGGGGGTAGGAGAGGGTCCTGGCCCCGCCCGGTTGGGGCGAAAACACCAGGCTTGAGATGGAAGTCCGGGAGACCTCGGAGCGACGTTGGAAGCAGGTCTGCGAGCCGGGCTGGGATTCTTCTTTGTCTACGACCTTCTTGAGCAGGCTCTATAGTTACTGCCACGCTCGCCTCCCGTTCGACCTCCAGACGCGGTCAGGATGCCTCGCTCTCTCCCAAACACATGATATTTACGTACCGCCAAGGCAGCATGCTGGGCCGCAAGCCTCTCCTTCTTTTTCGCCGCCTTTGCTCGCTTTTCCTCGACTTTTTGCTGCTCGACAATCTCCCGAAGACGCTGTTTCCTGTCGCTCATGTCGACCTTTCGCCGTAGGCCCCCGTCGAAGAAGTCGTGGGCATGTTTGCAGCCCTCGAGATGAGTTCCCAGGTCGCTGAAGGTCTTGTTGCAGCCATGGCAGGTTTCCTTAGGCATGTAGAGCAGAAGTAAAGCAAGGCACGCAACAAGCCAGAGGACTCGCATGTGGCTAGAGGGTGGTAGTACGCAGGCGACAGGCCAAAAAATGTTTTGACATCTAACGACGTTGCGACCATCAAGCCAGCGCGGTCACGTGACTGTCGCGTCAAGTGGGTAAGCGCCTTGGCGCGTCGCGATGTCGTCATTGACTGACACTTTTGACGTCTCTGAACGTTCCACTGACGGCCACACAGACCGTATAAAGTCTGTCCTCCTCGAGGACAAATTTGGTACCCATTCTCTTCCAGCTACCACCATCTCATCATTTGCTCCCGCACAGAAACATACATAGATCCATCATGCCCAAAACAGCTGCTGCCAAACCCAAGGCTGCGAAGCGCAAAGCCCAGCCGGCAACTCCCGCCGCCGCCAAAGCGCCTCGCGGCAACCACGCCCTGTACGTATCCTGTTTATGTACATATATGCGCATATATTCACATGTATACTCTCATTAAAATTTATTACAGGTTTGTTGGCGAGCTCCTGGACGCTACTCCTGCCCGCAAACGCAAGCCGCCCCCAGCCGACGACATTGCGCCCGCCAAAAAGTCGCGGGCCGGGGACCGCGAATCCGACATCAACGGAGCGCGGATCCAGGGCGCCCAGCCACGCGTCGATCCTGATCGTCGCCAAGCCGATCGACAGGAACCTGGGACGTCCACTTCTGGCCAGGTCTACGCCGAACGTCGCGCTGTGGCCTCGCCGTCCATGCTCCCTCCTTCGTCTGCCCAACAATCCTCTGACCTAACCTCGCAAAGCTCTCCAGTCACCTCTCGGGGCGGTGCCTCCTCCTCGCGCGCGACCGTCGCGCGCCCATCAGGTCGCCAGGTGGCCCCAGCCGTCCCAAGCACGGTGGCCCGCACCGTCCGCCAGGTCAACAACTTTGACCAGCAAAACGTTGATGAAGACGACACCGAACTTGAGGAACAGGAGCGTCCCCGCAAGGTACGCCCCCGCGACTGGCACGCAGCTCTTGGGTTCGACGACGACGAGTCCGAGAAGGCGGACGAGGAAGAGGACAACGAGTCCGAGACCGAGCAGGGTGACATAGGAGAGGATGACCAACAGGAACACGACGACCACGGTGGGTTCACTGTTCGCGACTTCGACGACGCCGAGGACGTCTCGCGCCCAGACGTCACCGAATTCATTGCTTACATCAAGCTAAACAAGAAGGCCAGGTAAGTCACCCGCTGTCCTCTGACGCCTCGGTATTTCAGGGTTCAACAAGCCCTCCGTCAACCCCTTCACCATGGGCCAATTCTCTACCCCTACGTATATACTGATGTGCAATTCACAGGAACGCCAGGAACCCTGCACGCCTTGTGCCCCACTTCACAAAGTGGGGCCGTCATTGCCATCGTCTCGTCGGTGCATATACCGATGTCTCGAAGGTCATCGTGTGTGGCCTCACTGTCTTGAAGGCCGACCCCCAGACCCCCGAGGGCTACGACGCCTGCTACGCAGCCATGCCCAACATGTACGTGACCACCTCATCGTTCTGGCTATCTCTATCTCAACTGCTCCTGACAGGAGCGCCGCCACGGCCAAGTTCTACACGAAGAAGTATTTCTACCTCTGCGACAAGATCCCAAAGTTTGTCCTGGTCTCCGGACACCTCCTCTCGAGCGCTGCGAGCGTGTTCGCCTTCGCAAAATTTGTAATCTTCTTCCTTCCGATCGTCACACCGCGCTGACCAACCTACAGATGAGAATTCATGCTTCCGCTGGGCGATCGTCTGACATCGCGAGTATGCGACGCTCGCTGACCTCGTACATGCCCACAATTGTGTACCCTTCCGGGCGTACTATCCTTCCCCTAACCAAAGCACAGTACAACAATATCAAGCGTCGTAACACTGGGTATTATTCTCATAGCACAGCGCGGCTCGTGATCCCTATCGACGAGCGCGACGCTTTTGACAACGCCCGTGATCTTAATCTGTATGTCGTAAGTACTTTGTTGGCCTTCTAACTGATATGTTTGCCATCCAGATACTGCAAGCGCAAGGCCCTAGAGTACAAGAACTACGTCCAGGGCACCTACCAGCAGTCGAAGAAGTCCAAGGGCAAGTCCACCAGCATCGTGCCCTTCAAGGACGAAGAGTCTTTTCCGAGTTTCCTGTTCCCGACGTACCAGGAGTACGACCCCTCCCGTGCGCATCACGCAATCTTCAAGGGCGAATTTGTTCTTGATGTAATTCCCTTTGTTCTGGCTTGAAATCTACTGACGAAATTCCATAGATGACCCGCCATCTTTGGAAGGGTCCGTCCTCGGTTGGTCGCGATCCCGGCGAGCCAGGCCGAGGGCGCGCCTGCTTGGCCCAGATCTACCATGTCACGAAGATGACACCGGCCCTCATTGCATACACCGCGACGCTCGTGAGTAGCTGCCCCGTTCCCCATACTGTACTGATGCTGTTGTGGCAGGTGCGGTTTGTACTGGGGACCGAAGAGCGTTGGTCCGGCGATGACTGCCAGCGTTCAGGGCATCGATTCCACATCGCTCTCCATCAGCTCCTCTCGGACGAGTACGAAGCGTGGGAGGAGGACGTCGAGGAGGGCAAGCTTCTGTGTGGCCTCGACAAGAACGTCGACAACATCATATCTTACTTCAACAGGTACATCATCTGCGACATGGAATGTTTGTGTGCTAAATTTGCTGCAGATGCCTGCTGGGCTCGGAGTATGGCCACGCTGACGAGCAGACCCCCGTATTTTGGGATGTAGGAGTTACGGAGGACGGCAAGGACACTCTGCGCTCGCAAATGATCAACGCGCGCAGAGCCGAATTGGACGCACTTCGACAGGAGTGCATGAACGCCGTGCAAAGTACATCGTCGGACTCTCGCGAGCCCTCGCGCTCTCGTTCACCCTCGATTTTCATGATCGAGGCCATACCCGCGTCCTCGCCGGCGCCTTCGTCACAGCCTTTGTCGCCCTCGTCTCCTCCATCGGGCGAAGTTGCTGACGCAGATGTCACGGTCTAGGTAATTGCTGCTCTGCGATCTCTTGTCTTCTTGGGGCGGGGGGACTACTTCTTGTGGTGGTTTATCATGTCTTGATGCTTTAATCTTGTCGCGGCGCCATCGTGTTTCTCTCTGCTCATGTATAATGTTGTCGCACTGAATAATAATCTCCTCCTGCCTACTTGGTCTGGCCTGACGGCGCAAGCGCCATTTCAAATTCAAATATGTATTCGTCTATGAATATTCTCTACGTGCATTGATCTTCCCAGCAGGCACACTCATCCCATGTCAGAATTCCAAGACAATGGCCCCGACACCAGACGCAATTGGTGAATCTTGGCCGCCGCATGCGCCCGATTCCGGCCCTTGCCATCGCGTACAACTCAAGAAAGCGCACGCACGTCTCTTATCGAAGGCCCTCGAATGTCTCTCTCGCCCACCGCTGCCACTCCACGAATGCTGTGCAATGTTAGCGATGTGTTGGCGACATTGCGTCGTATTTTCGGTCATTGCACACCCTGGTCTTTTGGGCACCAACAATGCCTGCCAAGACGAAGCTGCATGGTAGCCCGCCACACTTTGTGCTTGGCGCACGACAATTTGGCGTTTGCGCGGTCGTGTACCAGTGTGTAATCTCAGTCATTACTTATACCTTTTTGCTGATGAAAGCGAACGCGCGACTGCGTGCATTCATGGCTACGTATCCAGTTGCGTGCAATTGTAAACACTCTGCAGGAAGGGCATGTAGATTGTATTCACCTTCTCGAACCCATGCTCATCTATAAGTACTATTTGCCAGTTCGAACATAAGTGAGTGCTTCAAGTTACCTGACGACTCAGCACGCGACTCAGCACGTCGGACATTCCCGCCTAGACGCCTAAGCTTGACCTCCGACAAAAGCCACCCAGCCGACAATCACAATCGGAAAATCTTTGAGCGACACATTCCCAGTACAAATCCTGCACATCCATATCATAGATCACATAAGGGATGAGATGAAAGGGCGTCCATCCTGTCAATCATCCTTCTTCACAAACCGTCCGGCCCGCCGCCAGAACAGATGTTCTTCAGGCTCATCGTCCTTCCCCCACACGCTTCCCTCTGCCCATGCGTCCATATTCTCGATCCACAAATGCGTAGGGCGGTCCATACGGCACCCGTCCATGATATAGACCCATACGGGGGTCCAGAATCGCTGCCATCTCGCGACATCCTCCCTTGGACTCAAAACATGTTCGTAGAACAGCAGCGTCCCCCCAGGCTTGAGCACGTCGTTGACAAACGCGGTCAGGGTCTGCTCGGGATCGGGTATGGAGCAGAGCGAGAAGATTGAGACGAGAGTGTCGACGGCATGTGCGCCCCCGAGAGCGGACGTGATAAGGGAGATTTTCTCGGCGCCATATGGGAGGATGAGGAGCGTGCCGGTCTCTTCCGTGAACCCGTTCTTGGCTGCGGTGATGCGAATCTTGGGGTGCATTAAGGTGTTTGGCTCGAGTGTGACGTACTTCGTGACCTTGGTGGGGTCGAGGTAGAGAGCCGTCTGTCCGTGGCCTGTATGGAAGGTCAGTGTTACGTACTAGTAGAACAACCCAGTGATTAGACGC